TTAAATATTTAATAATTTTAAAAAAAATTAATATTATATAATATTTAATAATCTTAAAAATATTTTTGAATATTTAATAATTAAAAATATGAAAAGATAAGAGATAAGATAAAATATATAAATGAAATAAAAAGAAGAAAAAATATGAGGAATTTCAAATTCTTACTTTTTCGGGAGAATTTAAAATTCTACTATTTCAAAGAATTTCACAAATACTTGAATTTCAAATTCCTTATAAATTCTTCATCCAAACAAAGTATTTCACCTCAAAGAATTTGAAATTCTTCAAATAAATAAATTACTCCATTTAAATTCTCCATCCAAACACACTATAAATGTTATTCAAGAAATTCATAACTATGACAGACGCATTGCTTGGATGCATGTTCAGAAGCTAATAAAGGGGCACACCGTGCTGTATCTTCTAAAATTTTAAAAATAAATATAAAAGAAATTTTTAGTGAGGTGTGATATTTTTATTTTTATTTTAATCCTTAAAAAGACTACAAGAAGAATTTGATTAAGGTGGCTAGCTTTGGTTCTAAAAAATTTAGTGACTACCAACCCAATTCATTTAATTAATATATAATTGACTTAAATTGTTTTTAAGTATATCTTTAATTTAAAATTATATACTAAACTACTAATCACTTCATGTAGTTTATCCAATATTTTAATTGAGTCTAGCCTGAGTTTTAAAACACTATGTCAGAGTATTAGGTAGCATTAGGAAATATATATTTTTCACAAAAAGAAAAACCTTATATTTGATCTTATTTTTCAATTAATCTTATTATTTCATTTATTTTAGCTAAGTAATTTGAATTTAAATTGATTAGGGAATCTTCCTTCTTTATACTATCATCAACACTGAGATATTATAAGGGTATAATCATTATTATCGTAGTCACCATATTGTAATATTATTATTATTATTTTGTTATTTTTTATCAAACAAGACATAAGATTAAGAAGATTAGTGTTAGATAATGTTGAAGAAAAAGCCCTCTGTACTAGGGGTGTATATATATATATATATATTGAGCATGGTGCCCTACAAGTTTATTGGCAAGCTTCCTTACAAATGGCTCATACCCAAGCCTCAATTGCAATAAGCCCTGCAAGTGGCTATTGCATCAATGGTGCATTTGCACATAGTCTATTCTCTTCCAAGTTCCCTATGAACTTCAATTAAAAGGGTTCAGGAATTCCAATTAGTCAAATCCATTGATTCATATCATGACAAGAAATTATTAGCCTAAATTAATAACACTTAATTATATGTTATATACAAACAATTAAAGATACTGTGGTTTAAAACCATAATAATTTATCCATCACTATCTTTGCCAATTGCCATCTGTCTAGGATTCTCATTGATATTATGGAGATCAGAGAAACAAACTACAGTGTCCCAAAAGTCTTTGCGATGAACCATGCCCTAGCAACAACAACTTGCATGAGAAATCCAATGGCTAACCTACCTCCTTTATGATTTGAGAGTTGCTCTCAAACAGCTACCTCTTCTCTGCATTTGGTTTCCAACTCCATTTTCCATGAATTAACAAAACACATTAAATTGATTGTCATATTTTCGTGGGAAAGCGCAATAATCGGTGAATTGGATAACCTTGGTCTTTCTCTTTTTCGAATCATAAATTCCAGAATTTAAGCAAATCCTCAAAAGAACCGCAAAAATCAAGAACCTCAAATCCTTAATTATGGCCTCAAAACACGTGATTTGTACTTCAAAAGTGGTTGGAATGCACCATTATTCATAAGTAACCTACTCTCTGTCAGTGTTACAAAATGAATATATTAATTACAACCAGCAAGCCAGTCCTCTGTCAATTTATCTTACAAATAGTAGTACAAAAAGAATTAATGAAAATTAGTAAATATGGTTTCATTCTTCAATTCACAGGTACTAACATTCTCAGATTCGATCAACCATAATTTCTAATGCAGGTATATTTTTCAACTTCTATCTTGGCTTGATGGTTGGTATACTTCCACTAACAAGATCACTACCCGACACATCTCCTGAAATGAAAGGAGTCTTTATAGTAGATGATGAAGGTTGTGAACTGAATATTGTACCAGAAGAATCACTTGTACCATATTCAGTTCCCTTGGTATCTGACTCAGGTAACATAGAACAAATGTATTCAAGCTCTCTAGCTACTTCTGCCATTTTAGGCCTCTCATGTGGTGAATCTTTGCAACATTTTAAGGCCAAAGTCAAAAATTTCTCTGCATACTCAATAGGGTAAGACTCAATGCGTTTATCAACAACCAAAGATATCCCACCAGATTGGTATGCCATATTAACCTGTAAAAAAATAAAAAATAAAAATATTTACGTACTGTTTGGATAAAACTTCTAAATAAGAATTTTTAGAAAAAGAAGATACGGTGAAATAATGAATTAAACTTCACTTACAAGTTAAAATTATTTTATGCATAAGTTAAAATCAGTTTTTATAAAAACTAAATAAGTGAGCTTTTTAAATTAATTTATGCATAAGTAATTTTAACTTATGAGAGATGTTTAATTCATTTTACCTTTCCATTCTCTTCTCATATAAGTACATGTCGAGAAGTTTATGCAAACAAGGTCTTAAAAAATGTTGTGTATTCTTTTATCTTCATATCTTAGAGATAAGGGACGATTAAGGAACATATTAACAAATTATTTGGACATTATTGATGTTAGAATATTTAGTATACTATATTTATGTTGATCAGGCAACAAGTTAGCTACTAATTACAAGTTTGTGCTTAGCTTCTAATTAACCCCTTGATTGCTACATTATTTGGTTGTAATCAAGTAATAAATAACAGATTAAATGTGCAGCCCATTAACACAATTTCTCAGAATAACTGTCTCTTTCAATCGAATTTGACTCAACCTGTGTCAAATACTAAGTTCTGTTTAGACCAAAACCTTAGATTAATAAGATAATGTCTGAAAACTACAGCTGCAAACACTGTTTCTAACCAAACTCAAAGTATATGGATGAGAACAATGACAGGAAGACATAAATGCTTAGCCTCAGTCTGCAAATTTGTCGAAAATAGCAAAAATGAAAAACTACACTCACTTTCCTAATGACAACCCGGGTAAGATTTCATCATAAACACAATACCAGTGTTGAAAATGAAAAGCTAAACAATCTGAACACAATTGTTACCCCGGTTCGATCAAATCACAATTGTCAAGAAGAGAAACCAAACGATACCTGTCTAATAATATTTTCGCCATGGAAGATTGGTGGCCTCCCAGTCACAAGTTCCAGAAACACAACACCAAGACTATAAACATCACTCTTGTCGGTCAAATTGCGAGTTAAGAAGTACTCTGGATCAAGATAACCCTGCATGTTTTAAACAAACAATAGAGAAATTAAATCGATGAACAGATAAAATTAACCTTAACCAATATATAAAAATAATTTCCAATCAATTAGTAAGACACTTTCTATTTCGGTTTTGGAAATCCAGAAGTCATATTTTTAAATTCTCTCTCGAAGTATAGTATATGACTTAATCCAGGTATACTAGTAGACTGGTGATAAGCCTAAACAAGATGAAAGTCATTGATTGCTATAAAGTTCTAATACCATGCTATCCTTTACTAAACAATACAACAAAAAATTTCCAAGAGGAACATAAACCTCAAAATCTAGTCATAGAAACCTTATCTTTTAAGTCTTTAGGTTTGAATTTTGATAGGGAAATATTGAACCTTGAAAAATTGAACCTTGATTTGGTGAAATTGTTCTACAGTAATAATTAATTGGTATTTTCAAATTCACATCCTCAGTCCACCAATCTTTAGGTCATAAAAAATTGAAAGTAAAAAATTTTAGCCTTAAACATAACCACTAATTGACCTAAATAACTAGATTAGAGCCAAGGTCACAGTTAAGTGCATGCACAAATACATGAAATATGTTTTCATAGACTAGGTCCTTTCTTTCTAGTGTGGAATTAAATACAAAATTTCTGGGGTACCTAAAAGAGACCGATCATCACTCCTAGCTCTAATCCCACAAAATGGTCAGTGCAAAAAATTACAGTCATACAGAGATTTCACAACATTATGAACACATGCTGATTCAAACACGCCTTGGAAGATAAAGATCAATCATTTTTTTCCATTAACTATTAACCATTGTTTATATTATTCTGTATTAAAGAAAAGTAGATCACACTCCATTTGTTTCAAATGTGTTTGCAGTATACTTGAGTGTATGGATACAAGCAACCACCACTACCTTCAGAGATGGAACTTTAAATTTAAGACATGGAAGTATTTGTCAAATATGGAGTATGCAGTTTTTTTTTTTGCTAGGCAAAATGAAATATATTAAAAGGGAGTACAAGGGGTACTCCAACTCATAAACAGTTACAAAAAATAACCAAAACTAGATAGACAAATCCAGTTTCTTAAGTAACCTACAAGGTATAACTAAGAAAACTATACCAAAAGTAATCCAAAACAAACAAAGTCAACCAAAATCACTAAGAAAACCAAAAATCTAATACTCCAAGACCTCACCATCCAACTACCGAGCATAATTGTTGCCCTCATTCCCCCACAAACCAAATAATAAAAACTAAAAAGTCATCAGGCTGCACAACAGTTGAGATTTATGTGTATCAAATGATGGCATCCTAATTCTTTTCCTATTTTTCACAACTGAAGGGTACAATTAATGCATTGTTCAACATTTTCCTTCTGAAATTTTGTAGAATGGTGTCTCATATCTATTACTATTAATAATAAAAAATTAATAAGATTTCTAAGCTTATCCTGAATGTACACGTGCTCAATTTTAGCAAAAGTAATTCCAGTTATGAAAACCATACCGGGGTTCCCTTTACCACTGTTGATACATGACCAGGTACATTTCCTTCAGTATCAGGAACTGGGGCAAGCCGTGAAAGTCCAAAATCAGCAACTTTTGCTGTGTACCTAGAGTCCAATAATATATTACTGGCCTTGACATCTCGGTGGAATATTGGAGGATTAGCTTCTGTGTGTAGATATAAAAGACCTTTGGCTGATCCTAGAGCAATCCTCAACCTCATGGAAAAACTAAGAGGTTCTTTTGAATAAGCTGTCATAGTACATAGTTATAAGTTAAAACAAACAACAGAGTCCTCAACCTTATGGGAACATTAAAGTATATAGAATCCTATTGAAAGTAAAAAGATACTCGGATATTTTAATTTTTTTGATAAAACAAATGTACTTATTATACAGGCAAAACAATATTTTTTGTTTCATCATTCATGACTGAGTCAATGGTAAAATGCAATGGAGTATGGACACTATTTAGCTAATAGACAATGTAGGAAATTAGATATCAAGAGCTCAAGATATACCAGAAAGGTGATCCCTTAGTGTTCCTTGTGGCATATATTCATAAACCAACATCTGCAAGCACAAATAAACAAACCAGCTTACATCCTCATTTTAAAGGAATATTTTCATAGACATATTAGTAACACACTCTTTTAAACACCCTTATTATTGAATAAAACTTCTAGAAAATAACAAAATTTTGTCTCACTTCTTATTTAAATGAGTTCTATGGATGATTTTGTAGTTTTCAATAAATTCTAACTAATAGTAGAGAGTGTGTTAAAGATTGTGTTGTTTTGCTAACTAGCACTCCTCGTAATTTTATTATCAGCTTTAATCAATATCCAATCTTAGTACATCATGTCCCCGTGGAATGAATCAATCAACATGAGACAGCAAGGTAATGAAACTTGTGGAAAATAAAAATTCCAAAAATAAATCAAATTGAAGATAACTGACAATTATACTATAACAAATTCTTTTGAGTCTAGATTTTTGAACTTCAAACCAAAAGTTACCTGTTCACCCTCTTCATCACAGAATCCTATCAGCGAGACAAGGTTGCGATGATGTAACCTGGATAGCAATTCTATTTCTGTAAGGAACTCCCTCTGACCTTGCAGTGAACCCTCCTGTGCACGTTTTATGGCAACAACAGTGCCATCAGAAAGATGACCTTTATAAACCTTTCCATAGCCCCCTTCTCCAATTTGAGCAGACTCACTAAAATTGTTTGTAGCCAAGGCCATTTCTTTGAAATCCAATGATCTCACACCATCAACTTTTATCAATATCCTAGATGCTGTGAAAAATATAGAAGCCTTTGCTTAAGATATATTTTAACCAGTTCATTCTTGACAAGTTCACAACCAATCAGATATGGTTAGCATCAATGAATTTATTGTTCCATATAAGCAACAAAATGGACTTTCTTTCAATGAAAATCCTATTGATTGACAAAAAGAATAAACTAAAAGGCCAAATGTAATGGTTTGAGTAGAAAGCTCACATCTTCAGGGTTCTTTATTGAATAGGGATGTTATCACTTATCAGAGTTCATGGATGTTTCAATTTTTGAGTTCTATTTCTTGATGTGTAGAGACTAGAAAGCCTTGTTTATGGTTCTTTCATGCTCCTTGTAACTAGAATTTTCTGTTTTTTTAGGATATGTTATCTTCCCCATAGCTGTAATTACCATTTTTTTTCTAATAAAGTATCTACCTAAGGAGGGGGGGGGGGGTGGCAAAGGGACATAAAACAGAGAATATCATAAGGTACTTACCATTACGCCGTTTGGAAAGTGTACGATAATCTCTCAATCGTATTCTCAAAATAAGAATGGAAACAATTGCAGATAATGTAACTGCACAGGCAATTGCACCTAAGATTATTCCAGCCAGTGCACCTTTGCTTATCCCTGAACTTGGAGAGCGGGTAATCACTGAAACAATAAGCAGTATATGAAAAAAAACAAGAACAACCATACATCCTTTAGCAAATATAACATTCATGCATGAATGACTGTGATTTATAATATTATACAGCAGCATGTTCATTTATCAGTCCTAGTGACATTAATCCAGCTTAGAGTTGCTCTTGACTTGACAGTTGACACCAACATATAGCATATAATCCTGAACATATAGCAACTCATCTAACATAATATAAATAGATAAATGTTGACAAAATGTCCAAGTATTTCTAGACAGTAGACACTAGACACACTAGCATATCATAAGAAGTTTCTGTAACTTACCATCCCTGTAAGGATCCAGTAGAATGAAGTTCAGAAGTTCATAAGGCCCAAACAAGTCATTGTCATCAATGTTCCATTCTCTGAACAAGTCTCTGATCCGAACAACCTCACTTGTGTTGAACACATGAGAACTTCTATTGTCAATATATTCAGGAAAAAGCTTCAAGTTCATTCTCAACCGCCCTTCCTCCCAAGCAAAACGCTCAATGAACAGCTGATTACTATGCACATTAAGACCATCTGACAAGAAGCTCTCAAATGAACTCATGTATGCGTTGAAATCTGAAAATCCTGGACTCTTCAACCGATAATGAACAACCAACGGGGCAGCACAGAAACACTGCACAGTGTATTCATAAGGAGGGGGGCATGCTTGACTGGGACAGTCAACATTGGAGCCTCCATTCAAGCCATTGTCACTTTCAGGTCCACAGAACGCAACTAAGGAGTTATTATTTTTGCATACAGGATTTCCCTCAAGCCTGAAAAAAGTAATTTCCAATAATGATGTGACAAGTTATCTAATGCTCAACAAGCTTTGACCTTTGTCATAAGGGTCGGTATTATTATTTGAACATGCATGAAAAGAAGAAAAAAGATGGAACTCTCCACTACACTGGCTTTAGTACATCTTCAAAATCAGTTTAGAAGCTTACATGAGTGTGACATTTGGAGGAAGATTTGTAGTGCCTGATATGCCTGTAAGTTGATTATTTTGCATGTCCCTGCAAGATCACCAACACATGCTGAGCAAATGAAAACAGCTAAATTAAATATCATCTACGCATAACAAAACACTTATACAAATACAGGATGCCTCAGAGAATATACAGACATATGCATGTCACACACATGGTATCAGATAATTCAGATGAAAATGCTCCCAAATACAAATCTATGTGAGAAAAATAGTGCAGTTATCATATCAAGTCTTACAAGATAAGTTGTTCTCTTCCATTTAAAGTCCTCTCCTGCCAAATGGTAGAAGGAACGATGCCACTCAATGAATTGTTTGCAATTGACCTGTCATAGGGAAAGATATGTCTTGAAAAA